GAGAAAGAGAACATCTATGATCTTCGGTCGTTCATATTTGCGCTGGAAGTTGGGGGGTAACATATTGCGATTGTACGCATGTTTTTGTTGTCCAGGCAGTGTCTCAGAGTGTTCTCTCTGGTCCCTTGAATATTCGTCATAAACTTTTTTTTATTTTAGTGATTAGTAATTGTATTTGTGCGATTCGCATTTAAACTCTTCACATAATCGATTATTGCCATGGAAACCAGAGAAAGGTGAATATCAATTTGGTTTTTAAAATCGAAATACTGAAAGGACTGATACGAATTGATTGTTGCCCAAGCTTAGCTAATGGGTATTGTTTTAGTGATAAAAAATGAAAATCTTGTGTGAAATCATCGATAGTAGCCATGGAAATAAGGGAACAGTTCGGGGCGACATACGCTATTGCATTATGTTCGTAAATCAGACTCCAAAGTTTGATAAAAGAAATTCAAGTTGAAGAAAACAACTATAAAATTGAAAGAATTGTCTCAAAGGGGGGATTTTCAAACTTAGAATTGTAATTCCCAACATCAAAGTTGAAATTATTAACATAAACCTTTAAGTTAACTTTTTTACTGGTGGAATTTCCAACAATACCCAAAGACATTACGCAACCGTTCATAAATGTTAGCTACTTAAATTGGTTTATATTAATATCAATTCAGTTTTAAAAAGGAAGTCGAAAATGTACAAATTAAAAGTTTAGAAACTACAGACAACGCACAACCACGGACAAAAACAGACGGCAGTATGTCACTGAGTGATTCACATTATCTAGCAATATCGCGGACGCATTTGTATACAAGTATGGTTACTTTGTCGTTGTTTTTTATATTGTTGCTGTTGCGTGTAAAAAAATCCGTGTTAAAAACCTCTATTATTCAATCTGATAAGCTGTACAGCGACCATCAGAATTTCAGAGCGTAACAAGGATCTGATTTTATTAAGATTGCTCTTTTATTCTCCTTTATATTGCTCGAGTGCATTTGATGCATTCAAACGGAGGTTATTTAAACTTCCGTCTTTCATAATGCCCAGGTTGTCAGTATACATGTATAACTAGCGGTTCAGTAATTTGAAAATAGATCATTGAAGCAAAGGCGCATATATTATTAAGTTCAATAAATGAATCCATGGATCATGTTCCTTAGACGTGCGTTATATTAATTTAAGTTTACCAAAAAAAAAACAGTGATATTTTATGTAAGGAAATGCGAACATGAGGAAATGAATCTTAATAGTAAGTACATGTAATGTTATTTCTACTCAATTTCGTTTTGAAAAAAAAATCTTTTTAATATGTAATTTGATTGTCATGACATAAGTGTATAGCACCATGATTTCGCATTCAAAACAATGAAATATCTCTAAGATTCAAATACAATTTTTTGTTAATATTCAGCAAATGTACGAGGTCATTCAAAAAATACGTAGACAATGTTCCTCACAATCACATTATTTTTACAAAGTTTTATATCAGTACATTTTTATATGTAAAAAGATATATTTTATAGATTTCTGATGTTTCATTCTATTGGATTAAATGAAACTTATGTTAGCCAGTTTTAAAAGCAGCATATTTTGTCACCATGGAGCACGGTCAAAAACGTTTCAACGTCAAAAACAACGTTAAAGAACATTTCTCAAACTCAAAGTGCCTTTTCATTTTATGCACGGTTTGTATCGTATTCCTCATTCATTAAAACGTATCCACAACACTTGACACCTATTATGCTAACAATAATTTGAGTATACATTAAATAAGATTGTCAATGTTTTTAAATCCTTAACCATGTACTATAAAATCACATATTTTCGTGGGATCGAATTTTCGTGGTTTGAGGAAAATCTCTTGGTTTGTAGGGATTTGATTTCGATGATCAAGAACTAATGAGTAGTTATGTATGTACATTTTACATTTCGTGGTGGTCATGAATTCGTTGGTCTCGTCGTACCTCGAAAACAACGAAAATTAATCCCGCACGAAAGTTTGTGATTTCACAGTAACTCTGCTCTTACAGGTTCCGCAACAGTGAAGCGCACATTATGTTTTATGACGTTCCTAAATCTTTTGTCAAGATTTTGAACTATAATCTGTTTCTTTGCAGAACGCCCATCGCCCAATTTAAAGTTTTAACCCTTCATTTTATATATTTTCCATGGTTTCTCCAGCAATTTCGGAGTTTGTTTTAAAAGTTCCAAATGCAAAAACAAAATTATATTGCTACTTGCTGCTCCGTGACGTCTTTCGACATCATGATTTTTTGCTTTTTTACTCAAGACTATCTGTATATAGAAAATGATAACTTTTAAACAAAGCAATGTATTACATTATTTTTTAGCTTTTGAAGAAATGAAACAATACTAAATTTAAGTATTTTAATTTTATTTCAGTTAACGACAATTTTAAAGAGGTATGGCGATAGATATGAAAAGTGAATAATCAGTCAATAATTCAATTTTGACCCTGCTCCGTGACCCTGTTTTTGCTGTCTTAAATCTTTGATAATTTTGACAAAAATCAAAATATATTCCAATTTCTTTGCTCAAAATATTTGAATCTGTTGTTAAAATATATGTACCAAATTTGGTTTGAATATGACGTTAAATAAAAATGTTCTGACAAAAGTCTACGAACTTTTTGAATGACCCTCGAACATACTTGTTCTCATATGAAATGTTAAAAGTAAAAAGTATTTTTCTAACAATTTTTGTTTTTAAGCCATTTTCATAAGTATAATATATTTTTGATACGGAAAATTTTGAGAAGGTTTTGCTTTTAGAAACTACGTATCATTTTACCAATTTTCATTGTTCAAAATATACTTTGCATAAAGTGAACTTTACACAAAGAAAACCCAAACACTTAATCAAACTTATCTTAAAACGGAATATATGATAATGTTTCCATTTTCAATTGTTTTTTATATCAATAACACTACAAAATTCCATTTTGCTAATTTCTTGGTAATATATCTTTGTACAAACAAAATGAATAATGGATTATCTTCGGATCAAGAGCAAGTCGCTAGCGCAACGCTGTCGACAATCACCGAGACCTCGCGATGACGAGAATATCACTTTCGTAGAAAAACATCTGAATCACGCCGAGACATCGCCACAACTACATACACTACTTCAAATGATACAAACATCGATCCCAATTAAGTCATAACCAACCGAATTCGTAAGCAACTCAATTTCCTTTTTACACAACTGCTTTTTTAACATCAACATACATCGGTTTCATGATGATTTTTTTTTTTAAAGATTAATTTGATCATAATTAAAAATTCTTTTCTTTTTGTTTATTTCATAAATGTTGAAATTTGATAGTTACTAAACAATCACATGCATTAAATGTGTTTCGTGTTTTGGGGAAAAACATTTAAAGTAAACTTTCATATTATATAGTCAATAAACTGTGTATTTTATGTGGCATTGAAACTTTATAGCTAAAAAGCAGGAAGTTAAATTTGATTTAAAATAGATTTATATCAATTATATCAATTATTTCCTAAAATGTATCCTAACAATCAACAAATTTTAGTATACTATAGAATAAAAATGTTTTTTTTTTTAGAATTTGATTTATGCAGTCAATTACTTTGAAGCTGTTTGAAATTATTGTTCTCTGATTTTGTTTTGTTTGTTTGTAAATGAATTTTCCACTGATGAACTTCCTAATTTCTTCATTTTAGAGAGCTGTTGATATTATTGTACATGTAAACATATAACAGTTGTGATTTTTTTTCTTTTTTTTTTTACTTTTTATTGAAAGAAAAACAATATTTGATTGATTGATTGATTGCTGTTTTACGTCCCATTTTTTACTCGTACAGAGGTGTAACTATATACCAGTGAAATTTTGACCTTTACTTTGCAATCTGGACCATTGAGCAGTGAAGGATCTTTATCGTGTTAATGTCCGCAAGTGACACGGGGCCTAGGTTTTTAAGGTCTCATCCGAAGGACCCACAACTTTCACTTTAAAATGCCGAGCATATGAGAAAAAGCGGTCGCAACCCATATTTATTATCAGTTGCGGTCGAGATTAGAACTCACAAACTCTCGATCACAGAGCCAGCACTGAACAGACTGATCTACTGTGAACGTTAAACACGATTTGTGAGAACAATACATCTTATAAAGTATATTGGAGTTAAAAGAAAATATGCATTTTGAAATTATACGTAAATATGTATTATTACATGTATAAGCAGAGGCTGATCTTTTCGTGGTTATGTTAGAAAGTACACATTAGGAAATGAGACGTTATTTTTTTAATAATATTTTTATGTAATTATGTTTTATTATCATCTCTCATCAAATCATGGATAGTTTTTTGGTTAAATAAAAAGAGTTACTGTTACAATAAGCACTCCCCAGTATGGGAGTGTTTAAGATATGAAAGGAAATCTTTATGATTTTCCGGAAAATAATGTTGGAAAAGTGCATTATATATATATATATATATATATATATATATATATATATATATATATATAAGAATTGAAAATGGAAAATAACCTGGATTTTTCTTGCTTTTTAAATCTTCTAAATCAGACGGTATTTCGATATCGATTGATTTTAAGATTGTTATTTCAAGGGAAAGTGAGAACATATGGAATCACTGTCTAATTAGAAGACTATGCCAGACAAATCAACAATAGTGGTAAACATATGGGATAATCTGAGCTTAACGAGCTTCACCCTTAAGCTAAATTATCCCATGTTCCCCACTACCCTTGATGCCCTGACATAGTCCCCTAACAAGACAATGATTCCTGAAATCATGGAGGAAACGTTTTGGTTTCATGTGTATCTTTTTGTTAGAAGAGGTACAATGAAACAATGAATGAAATCAGGTTTTATTTTTACTTCCTTCATTCATTTAAATAAAATTAAGATGAAGTTGGAGAAAGTATTTATAAACGATAAGTAAAAGGTGAGGAGCTCTTCCGCGAAAAATGATAAATATAACAAACCATTAGGTGTAATAATTTTAGAAATGACTTACCGAGGGTTTGGTTACGTGGTGGATTCCTGTCCTACCAATGAGACAGAGTTTATCACAGCTGCTACCAGACTTAACTGTAGTGAGGACCAGTATGGACGTAATCAGTATACCTGTGTCCCAAATGAAAACAGATCAGCTCTTGTAGAGTTCTGCTACAGCAAAATTGTCGGGTTATATCAAAAGGGTAAGAGAGAGAGAAAGAAAGAGTTGTGAAAACATCTTAAGGTTCATTTTGTTTACTTTTGATTTCTGTTCAACATGTTGCATGAATACATCTATACATTTTTTGGATAAAGGTCATTACATTCGAAAACATTGTATAATTATCAGGCAAATTAGTTTCAGTAAAATTAAGAAAAAATTCCTTATCAATGTCCCATATTGATTGAAACTTGCATTGGATGAGAATTGAATAAAATATTTCAATACAATAATCGAAATTTTCTACAACATACATTGATTCATTTTTTTTAAAATAAGGATATTGCTTGGTGACAACTGGGAATGGGACGTTAGATCAAATTAGTTGTCATCACTTTATGACTGGCTGCCCAGAAGAAAATTTTCGAGGAACCGACCAATACAAATGTTTGTATTTTATCATTCTTTGAACACAAAAGTTTCGGTAAATCTTGCTTATTTAGAAATATGAATGTTACATGTAATGCAAAATACAAATTATTTTATTTTTTGCCTAGTTTCAGCTTGCAGTAGAATCAACACAGAAAGCAATTGTTTCTATGCAGATCCCTCATGTCCAAATATGTAAGCGTTCAATGAAATTTCTATGTACATGGTTATAAGTGTTTCAAACACGTTTCTGGAGACTACTTTTAGTATTTTAGCAAATCAGTTGCTGTGGTTCTTTTTACTTGATCTTTAAAAGACTGTTTTAAAATATTTCTATACACAATGAAGTAGAACGAATGCACCAAATTTTCTCCTGGTTAAAAATTGCCATGAAAAATATAGTTATCAATGTATCGTGCATCTAACAATGAATAAAAACAATTATTGCATGAATATTCATATAATTCATTGTTGATCGTTAGTTTATAAAGGATGAGGTGACATACGGCCCCCGATAAATTGCCAAAAAATAAATATCCAAATTTTATTCTAATTTATGCTCAACTTATCAGTGAGTACCCTAATGGAATACATGTACTATTTTACACGAATATTTGTATAATTTGAAAAATATAGATCTTTCATCTGGGTAGGGGGTATCATGTTCACATCCTATTCCCATTGAATTTTGACCCCGCCCAATTCACTGTACCCCCTACATGTTAAATTTATAGGCGCAAGTAAGTAAACTTTTCTCCTTTGTCTTCTCCCTATATTTTAATGAAATCTACCTTTATGCGAAAGGAGAAATTTGTACCTTATTGCGCTCACATGTTATTTTAAAAAAATATACAAAATCTAGCTGGCCTTTCCCATTATGAACAGATCCACGAAAATAGATTTTCTTACGTTAAATAAAATCATATACTAATCGAGATACTGGCGATACCCAACTGATCAATCAGTTAAATGAGATGCGTAATACATGTACGATTGAGTACCACAAAAATACACATATTGTCACAAACCATGCCGAATTTTGCCGGCTTTTGCCGTAACATGGTCTAAAAAATCACAAACAATCTTTTTTCAGTATATATTTTGTAAGTACGGGTACAAGGTAACGAGATACAAATATATAAAACAGACTGTTATAAAATTCTGTAGTTTTCCATGAACTTCCGTGAAAGGCTAATTGTATTCGGCGCGTCGGCGCGCCCGCGCGTCCATCTCATCCAAATATCGCAAAAGCATTTTCTCCCTGCATTAAAACACTCAAATGACTGCGAATTTCTTTATGATTTAAGCGTTATTGCTTATATTCAAAAGACAGTCCGAGCCCGATTGCATTCCTTTGTTAGGTGGATCCAGAAAATTTCCCTAGGAGGTGTTGGTTCAATCGCAAGGGAAGAGGTCCAAGGCATAGATTATCATTTAGTAATTTTACTATGTCAGTTTGAATAGATTTGAATTTTCCAGGGATCCGGATCCCCTTTGATCCATGCATGCCTTACCACAATTCGTGCAAAAGCGAAATTTTGGAATAAGCCTCTCTCTCTCTCTCTCTCTCTCTTTTCTCTCTCTCTCTCTCTCTCGTATATATATATTATCTCCAAAATTTAACTAAAGCATTTAAAAATATTGAGTGCTTTGGGTTTAATAAATTTATTTTTTGTTTAACACACATCCCTGGGAACCGCAGGAGGGGACTTACACAGATAAACATCATATTAAAAATTCGGGCATAGGTTTAGCCCCCACCTTTAACAGGCACGTTGCAGTGTTGTCTAAGAAGGGTAAGTATTATTAGTAAGTGTATTATTTGACAGAACAAAAAATGGTATCGAAAGAAGTTCGATCCGCCCCCCTCCCACCCCCGAAATAGGATTTTCGTGTTTGGACAATAGATACAATTTATTTTTTTGCTTGTTAAGATTTTTCAGATTCGAATTTTTTTTCTTTTCACTTAATCCCCCCCCCCCCCCTTTTCAATTTGCTTCCGACGCCAATGTATCAAATTAAAATTTACCAGCATAACGTTATGAACCTAGACTCTAGAGTTAAACTCCTTTTTAAAGACTTGATTTTTATGGCTATAAGCTGCCATATATGGTAGCAGTGTTTACAAAAATATCCCTCGTTCCGTTTTAAAACTACATAGTACTATCAAGAATTAACTTCTCTCTTGTCTTTATTAGAGGTCTGAGGATGGGAAGAAACTTTGGTTACAGAAATGACTTTGCTATCAATAACCCTTTTAAACAAACTTTTGGTAAAAAAAAATACCATATTAATTTATTGAAAAAATTGAACACAGAAAACGTCTTACACTTTTTGGCATATCATTCTAAGGTTATGGTGAGATCAAAACATACCTTTTTGACTCTGTATAATTGTGTCATTTTCTTATTTTTATTGAATTCTGACAAACTTCCTCATACAGCATAAATGAACATAACTTGAACAAAGTGTGAAACATTAAATTTTATTGAAACCGTCATTAAGATCAATACCTATCAGAACTTTCAGTTCTTTGATTAGTAAAGGATATCGAGCCCGATGCCGTGTAAGCGATAAATTTATCAAACAAAATCTGTTGCGCGAGCGCGCCGACGCGCCGAATACAATAAGCCCCGGGAAGAGAGTCTCTTTATTCTAAAGTATTGTAATGTATCCCCGGTACTATGCATCATCTTTGTCTAAATCAGCTTCATATATGTTTGACGGCAGTTCAGAATCTGATGCTTCCTCTACCATCTTAGCTTCCTGGCTAGAGTATTCTATAGGCTGAAAATGGTAAAAACTGTTAATCAGGACCAGAACTATTCAGAATTACCATGATGCACCTCGGGAAAAACAAAACAGCAGGAGAGTTAAAGGGTTGCAAGGTGAATTGACTCGGCTCTGAAATCTGCAACAACTTGCAAGCTTCTATAAACACTTTGTGTTGCCATGGATTCAGATATGCAGGTTCTTGAATTAGGAATTATACCCGACTGTTCACCATGAGCACAGCATCCCATGGTGACACTTCTTGTCCATAAGCCATATGAATCAATCATATCAGTGCTTGGACAGCACCAGGCAAATGCTCCACTCCAGTCGCGTCTTTAAACACAGCTGACAGGTGCTTTGCTTTGGCATGTCTTCTCGCTTTTCTGTACATTGATCGACATGATGACCACATGCACTATCAGTTGCCTGGTGTATAAAGTTGCTTTTGTCCTTGGACTGTCAACAGTTATATTCAAAGAACGCTTGTTTGTAGAATCTGTTCCTATTTTTCTTTCTGTTAATTTTTATGGATGTTTTAAAGGACTGCAACTTGACAACAGACGACGGCCTTCATTGAACAACTGATGTTTACTCTTTGCTGTGAGATTTCTCCAAGGGTTTTGGTATTTTGGACATGTGTTTTGGCTTGACTGTAGACTTTACTTTTGATAACATATCGACAAAATACATTGTGATACTGTATGCATATACGATATTTCAATTGCAAACATCGTAATACACAAATCTGCACACTATGCAGAAAATAGGCCATGTCAGCCAATTGACGAATCGAGAAATTTTGCATCTTAATACAGTATGCATTTTTATGCACACTTGAATAAATATGGGGTCTGTACTATTTCTTCCTTTGAGGTTCCTCTCAACCAGCAATTGGCGTCTCACGAACAGACTTAGATAGATCTAGCACCGAGTCATCAACAGCATTCATCCTGACGACGTGAATAGAAGGATCGGAGGTCAATTTGATGTCG